GGAGAAGAGAGAGAGAGGAAAGATGGATTTGGTAGACAATTAAGACTCTCAACTACAGAAATAAACAGTTTCCAAGAACTAGGAGACTGATTTCCTAGATTTGAAGAGCCCACTTAGTACCTAGGACAAAGAATTAAAAAAAGACTCACAATAAGCCATAACATTGGTAAAATGTAGAATACTAGACTTTTAAAAAAAATCCTGAAATTCAGAGAGAACAAGCGAGTCACAAACAAGGATCGGAATCGGTAATACATTATGCTCATAGCAACACTGAAGCTCTCAGCATTGGAACAATACGGTAAATCCTCACTTAATGCCATCAGTAAGTTATTGAAACTGTGACTTCTAAGCTAAACAATGTTATACGAAAACCAATTTTACCATCAGCTAATTGATACAAATAGAGTCGGTTCCTACAACATATTTCTGGTCACAAAAACATCACCAAACTTCTAAAGACCCAAACACTTCTAATATTAAACATGGAAATAAATGTGAGCTACACAATGCATTTAAGAAAGACTAATACAAACAAGTGAGATAATTATTTACCTAATTTTTTGTGAGTCAGTGAGTGACAGTGGTCATAGTTGTGATGAGCTGAATCAAGGAATAAATGTTTGCAAAGTGAAAATTCCAAAGAGCCCTCCTGCCACAATCCAAACAGTCACGAATGTGGCGGCCTCACTGAACGCCCTCATCAGGCATCATTTATCATTGTGCATTTGTACGATTATTGTAGACGTTACAATTGTATTCATTCATTCATTTTCCAACCTGCTTATTCCAGTTCAGGTCCGGGTGGCCAGAAGCAGGGGACCAAGCAGGAACTGCCTGCAGGACAGGGTACACTCACCACACCTGCCTCACTTATCTTGGACATATAGACATGCCAATGAACCTGACACGTACCAGCTCTGAGATGTGGGAGAACACTGGAGGACCAGAGACCCCATGCAGACATGGAACGTGCAGTCCACAAAGACAGTGCCTCAGCTGGAATCGATTTTTTTTCTCATTAGCATTGTAAGAAATGGTGTTGAGCCAAATGAAGTTTTTGTTTTTTTGAACAGAGTCTCACTTTGTTGCCCAGGCTAGAGTGATGCCTGGCGTCAGCCTAGCTCACAGCAACCTCAATCTCCTGGCTCAAGCAATCCTGCTGCCTCAGCTCCTGAGTAGCTGGGACTGTAGGCATGCCGCACACATACCCGCTAATTTTCTCTATATATCAGTTGGCCAATTAATTTCTTTCTATTTTTATAGTAGAGACAGGGTCTCACTCTTGCTCAGGCTGGTTTTGAACTCCTGAGCTAGAGCAATCCCCACCTCGGCCTCCAGAGTGCTAGGATTACAGGCGTGAGCCACCACGCCCGTCCTAAGTGAAGTTATTTGAAGACTTGCTGTACCTTCAGAATCTGATGGAAGTTTATTTTATCCTAGAGTTCTACATTAAGTACTAAATTAGTATGTTTTAATGAAAGTTGTGGATGAATGTGTAGCTTAGTCAAGATGTTTGTTGACATTTACCGTCCACCATTGGAGCTGTCATTTGATCACTGACCACATGAAAACCAGAAGGCACAGACCTGGGGAAGAAATAGCAGAATCTCTTTAAAAAGTGGGTAATGACTGGGTATGGTAGCTCACGCTGGTAATCCCAGCACTCTGGGAGGCTGAAGTAGGAGGATCACTTTAGGCCAGGAGTTTCCAGACCAGCCTGGAAAACATAGCAAGACCCCTATCTCCACCAAAAAAATAAAAACAAAAAAATTTGCCAGCTGTGCCTATAATCCCAGCTACTTGGGAGGCTGAGGCAGGAGGGTCACTTCAGTTCTGGAGTTTGAGGTTGTAGTGAGCTACAATTGAGCCACTGCTCTTCAGCCTGGGCAACAGAGAAAGACCCTATCTCAAAAATAAATAAATAAATTAGTCTTTATTTCAAGAAGTTACTTTAAGGAGTTATTCCCAAAGATAATAATTTGACATACGCAGCTGTCATTTACATCTCACTCTGTGAAATTTGACTTTTTGTTTATATCAAATAACTGTTCCCCTAAATTAATTTTTCTTTTTTATTTCAAGTTTTGTTACAGATACAAAAAACAGGAAGATGGCTGTTTAAGTTGGCTCCATTAGCAGCAACAGAACTTTGCAAATGGCTAATAATGGTGGTTTGATAATGTCATCTGATGTTTCGAAAAGAAAAGCAGTTCAGCCCAATAATGGCTTTTTTTCATACCATTCATGGAATCAATGTAAGAGGTTTCTTCTGTCAAAGGTGAAATGTCTGACATTATTGCTAATTCTATTATAAATTCAGTCTTAAAAGTCTCCATTCAAAATAAAATGATTTGATTTTGCAGGGATACTATAAATGCAATTTTTGGATGAGCATTGCACTGTGGAAAAAATAACACACTCTTCATACTGTTAAGAAACCAAATGGTCTTGGCAATGATTTCTTGGATATGACACCAAAAGTACAGGCAAAAAAAGCTAAAATAGACAAGTGGGATTACATCAAACAGAAAAGCTTCTGCACAGCAAAGAAAACAATCAACAGAGCGAAAAGGCAACCTACAGAATGGGAGAAAATTTTTGCAAACTATGTACCTGATGAGGGTCAATATCCAAAATATATAAGGAACTCCTGCAACTCAATAGCAAAAATAATAAATAGCCCAATTCAAAAATGTGCCAAGAACTTGAATAGACATTTCTCCAAAGAAGACATGCAAATGGCCAATAGGTATATAAAAACATGCTCAACGTCGCTAATCATCAGGGAAATGCAAATCAAAGCCATGAGACCTCACCTCACACCTATTAGGATGGCCATTATACATAAAGAAAAACAGAAAATAAGTGTTGGTGACGATGTGGAGAAATTGGAACCCTTGTCCACTCTTGGTGGGAGTGTAAAATGGTGTACTTGCCAAGGAAACAGTATGGACTTTCTTCAAAATATTAAAAATAGAACTACCATATGATCTAATAACTTCTGGGTATTTATCTGAAAGAATTAAAATATTGAAGAGATATCCACACTCTTCTTTCCATTGCAGCATCATTCACAATAGCTGAATTAGAAACAACTTAAATGTCCATTGATGGATGAATGGATAAAGAAAATATGACATATACATATAATGGAATATTATTCAGCCTTAAAAAAGGAGGAAATTGTGTCATATGTTGCAACATGAATGAGCCTGCCAAGTGGAGTAGAAATAGTATTTGGAATTGTTCGTGGCATACACATAATTTGTAATTGCATCCAATCAAGCTGTGACTGTCTTCAATTTAAATAAAAGTGGTAGTTGACATAATTTACAATATATACACAAAGAACTATGATATTATTAAGATATATATACACAAAAATGTTTGTGATAAAGCTGATGGATAAAAAGTACCTCTGCCTAGAACTTTCTCATTATGTCCTGGCCAACTCTGCATCTTCACCATACTCCATGCCCTCTTTCATACTGCAATGGATAAACCATCCTTGCTCGTGTCAAAGGGCCTCCATGTCCCCTTCAACAGTGCTATTAATCTCATCCCCTCTTCCTCCTCAAAGACTTCACTCCTTCTATTTTCTCTTTTCTTGCATCAGCAATTCCTCTCTTTTGGATTAGTGCCATCAACATAAAATATATTCTATTACCTTCCGTTGCTTAAAAATTTCTTCCTTTGATCCTAAATTCTTCTCCAACTATCAATTTTATTTCTCTTCCTTTCACAGTAAATCGTCTCCCAAAGTTCTGCCTCCACCTACTCATCTTTGTCCGTCTCCTGGACCTACTCTAGCAGGATTCTGAGCTCGCTGTCCCTTCCACTAAAACTGCAAGGTTATAGTGCCCTCCTTGTTGTAAACCCAATGTCACATTTCTGTATTTTATTTGGCTTTTTAGCACAGTCGACTACTCCCACCTCCTCTTGAGCTTTTCCCCTTGGCTTTTAAGATATCTCCATTGTTCTGTTTTATCCTACCTCAGCCTCATTTGCTGACTCACCTGTGTGATTTGACCTCTAAGTGTAGGAAGTGTCCCTGCTTGGTCCTGGTCCCTTTGGTCCTTATTTATAGTTGCTCCCTTGAGTAACATTCCTTAGTTGCATAAATACCACATATATGCTAAAGTTTATATCCCCAGTCCTAAAATCTCTGAACTCCAGATTAATATATTTGTACATGTATTTGAGACCCAAACCTAAATATTTAATAGATATCATCAATTCAACCTGTCCGAAAAAGAATTCCATTTCCTCTGGTCAGAATCTAGTTCACTCCGCCTTTGTCCATCTCAGCACAAAGCACCATCCCCCACGTGCTCTGGTGCTCAACTCCCTCCACTGCTTGTCCCGAATTTGCCCATTTCTCCCCATCCCCGTGACTATCCCTGTCCCAGCATTGTCATCTCCTGCCTGGACCTCATGGGCCTTCCTCACTTGCCACCCTGCCTCCCATGCTTGCCTCTTCTACGAATCATTCTCCTCGTGGAAGCTAGGACAGCATCTGAAAACACAAATGCAATCTTGTGGCTCCTCTGTGCTGAAAAATTCTCCAATGAGAGTAAATTTTGCTCTTGCTGTGGCTTGCTATAGTTCCATGCCTGCGCTCCTGTCTGCCTGTCCCCTGCGCCTAGCCATGCTGACTTTTGGTCAGTTCCTAGAGCATATTAAGATCTTTCTCGGCTGGGCGAGGTGGCTCACGCCTGTAATCCTAGCACTCTGGGAGGCTGAGGCGGGTGGATCACTCAAGGTCAGGAGTTCGAAACCAGCCTGAGCAAGAGCGAGACCCCGTCTCTACTATAAATAGAATTAATTGGCACAACTAGTATATATGAAAAATTAGCTGGGCATGGTGGTGCATGCCTGTAGTCCAGCTACTCGGGAGGCTGAAGCAGCAGATGCTTGAGCCCAGGAGTTTGAGGTTGCTGTGACTAGGCTGAGCCACGGCACTCACTCTAGCCTGGGCAACAAGCGAGACTCTGTCTCAAAAAAAAAAAAAGATCTTTCTCACCTTAGGGACTTTGTACTAAATGCTCCCTTTGCCTAGCATGTTGTTCCCTTAGATCTACCCATAGCTGGTACTCAGCTCCTCAGAGAGGCATATCCTAACTGGCCTATCTGATGCCGCTCTCTACCATGTTACTCTGTTCTTCTTTTCTTTTTTAATTTTTTTAAGATACAGAGTCTCACTCTGTCACCCAGGCCAGAGTGCAGTGGTATGATCATAGCTCACTATAACCTCCAACTCCTGGGCTCAAGTGATCCTCCTGCCTCGGCCTCCCAAAGTGCTGAGATTATAGGCATGAGCCCTTGCCCAGCCTGTTTTTCTTATTTGCACATATCCCCATGGGAAAGCGTTGCTACTACATGTTAGTTTACTTGCTTATTGTCTGTGTTCCTCACTGAAATCTAAATGCCACAACAAAGTAGGGTTGCCAGATTCAGCAAATAAAATTACAGAACACCCAGTTAAATAGATAAAGAATAATTTTTAGTATGTCTTATGCAATATTTTAGACTTACTTAAACAATTATTTTCATTGCTTATCTGAGACTCAAATTTAACTGGGCATCCTGTATTTTATCTGTGATCCCCATTCAAGAGCAGAAGCCTCACCTGCTGTCTGTCACCCCAGTCTGATGGTAAGTGATGATGAAAGTCTGACATATGACAACACCCCATAAAATATGCTTGATGAAATAGTGATTGAATGAAGGAAGGAAGGTAAATGTATCGGTTTGTGTGATGCTCAATCTAAAATCTAGCTTTAGTTTTCTAGACCATAACCCAGTGGTTCTCAGACTTTAGCCTGTATCAGAATAGGCTTGTGAAAATACCTATTTCTGAGCCTTAGTTGCAGAGATCTTGATTCAGTAGGTCTGAAGAGGGATTTGAGAATTTGCATCGGTAACATACTCCCAGGTGAGGCAGAGGCTGCTGGCCCAGGGCCATACTTTTTAAACCGCTAGCCTAGTCTACCTCTGAGGTCTACTTGCCTATTAAACAGGCAACCTTCGCTCGAATTCTAACTTAAAGAGACAGAAAACAACACTGGAGTGAGTATTCTAGTCCACCAGGAAACGAAAATTGAGTTGATTCTCACCTTGTAAAACACGATCACCTTCTGCATCGTGGCTGGCCTTCAGCTGTGTGCAGCGGAACCAATGCTTTAAAAAAGAACACCCCCTTGGCTGAGTAAGAAGTCTCTCAACACACAGGAATGTGTATTTTAGGACCAGATACGCACCTTCAGGGAAAACTCACAACAATCTGGGTGTCTCAGGGCAGAAAACAGAGAGCCTTGTGCCAGTATCTCAGAAGCTGGGCCAAACAGAAGTCCCATGAGAGCCCATGTATGTTTTCCAAGTTAATTAAATTTATTTAATCAGTTGTTTCAGAGCTAGTTTTCCCTCCAGGATTGGTACCCGTGACAACAGACAGAGGACAAAGACACAGCTCTACCAGGTGGCAACATGATTGTGCCTCAATATAATTTATAAATATTTAGGGACTCGTGGGATCTCTTCATTTACATAAGGTATGACTCTTCATCCCTCTGCCTGAGCAACTCTGCCCATTTACCTCAGATATATTTTTTCCATCTTCTCATTTTCCCTTGGTCCCACATGGCCAGACTGGCATCTTGTAATAAAATTTTTGCGTTTATACTTCTTTCATTTTATTTTATGAGTTAAGAGACCGAATGTGGAGGCTAACTATGCTTTGGAGATGAATAACCGCGAGTGGTTGCTTCTTAGACGATTTTAGCCACAATTCTATTTTCCCAGGTTCCCAACCTTAAAACCATCTTCCCTTCCCCACTTCCATTCTCCTGTCAATCCTACTGCTCACTGTGCACCTTCCTGTCTGTTCTTGCCCTTCTGCCCCAGCTGCCCTCGTCCAACTTCCCTTGTGTTCCTGCTTCCTTTCTTTGCGAGCCACGCTCAGTGCAGTGCTTCATTCACATTATTCCCACTGAGTACTCACTATGTGTCAGATTGTGCCGAGCACCATGGAAAACAAGATAACGTCTCTCCCTTCTTTTGAAAGCAGCTATCTGATCTGATTGTCTCTTCCCTGTGAACCTGCCAAGACTAGGACATGCTCTGAATTCCCCTATGGAGCTTAGATCTTGCCTGTACTTTCTCTTCCTCGTGGGACATTCTTTGCATCACAGTGTAATAGTCTTGTGATTAACTCCAGGGTACCATAAAGGTC